GCCAGGCTCCCCGCAGTTCCCCCTGGAGCCAGCAGCACTTGAAACTCACACTGAGATGCCTGACAGCAGTTTATGGATGTCTTTTGAATTCTTGATTTCTTTCTTACAAAGCGCAAGCAACTTCACAGCGAAGGGGTGGCTGGAAGAAGAACACTCTCTTTAGAGATGAGCTTTCACAGGCAGCCCCGGGACGCACACTTTTTCTATAAGGAAGGTCAACTCCGTCCTCCCGGTGGCTCAGTCCAAGAAGCCTGCAGCCCTGCGGCCCCTCTGCCAGCAAGTCCACTGGTCCCATCCCGGTGCCTCCACAGGCCGGCGGGTCCCCAGCTGCTGTGCCACCACCTGGTCGGCCTCTGCTTCACTATGGTGCAGCAGCCCCCACAGGGCCCCACCTCCCTCCCCAGGCCCCAGGCTCCATCCCGACACAGTGGCAGCCGGGATGCCCCTTCTCCTCCACTGCCCTTTCCAGAGGCGGCCTGGCCTGAGCTGCTGCAGGGCTGGGAGAATCTGCCGACTCACATAAGACACACAGGCTGCGCGGTGTTGTTCTGAGCCTTCACTGGCCGTAGGGACAAGAGCTGAAGCTGCATGCCGACAAAAGCACAGCCCTGATGAGCAGCTCTGAGAGGGCCGCTCCAGGGAGAAGAGGGAAGACACGCACCTGCCTCTCTTGGTGGGGAACACAGCCAAGCTCCAGGGGCCCGAGAGGCCGGAAAACCCTCACTGCTGACCGTAGGTCAGAGACCCCAGGGTGCTGCCACCCTCCCTCGGGTGTCCAGAAAAGGCAAACTAAACTAAGGTCCTGCCTGCCAAGGTGCAGGCTTAGCCCAGGCCTCGGCTTGCTCTGAGGTGGGACCCCGAAAACACAACGTCCAGAGAGTATGCAACAGCAGACAGGCAGCTCAGATACGCCCAGTGAAACAGGCAGGAGGAGGGCGTTAAAGGGAAGGAGCGCCGGGCACGGGAGGACGGGCGCAGGGAACAGCAAGGCGGAAAGCCAAGGCACATGTGGAAACACCTGAGGCCAAGACCTGCACCTGAAAAGACGCAAAACTCCAAACAGGAACTCCGCAAGTGAGAAGTCCTTCAGAGACAGAGAATCAGCAGCTGGCAGACGGGCCAAGGTAATGAAGCAAAGAAAGAGGAAAATGTGAAATGCAGAGGGGGTGGCCAAGGGAAACACGTGAGTGTGATAACAGAAAAACCAGGGAAGCAGCAAACCTGGCAGGGGCTGGGAAAGCCCAGGCCGTTTTGGGAGCACAGGTGGACTCAGAGGTGACACTCAAAAGCAACAAAGTCAGGAGAAGTGGGAAATACTTGTGCTGAAACAAAACAGCTGCCTGAACTCTGTGCATCCTCTGAAAATAATCTGCACATAAAATTAGAAAGCTTCACCACCAGCAGACCTCACTGGAGGAAATCCAAGGGAGTGTGCTCTAGGAAGAGGGAATGTGAGCCCCAACTAAGGGTGGGGGGTCCCCAAAATCATTAAGTGATGAGAAGCAAAGAAAGCAGTAAAAATGTGGATAATTCAGAATAACGCACATTACACAATACCACAGTGAACAGGAAACTACATGGAAGACAAGACATCCGACAACAGCAGCACAGAACTCAGGATGGAAGTCAGCAGAACCAGCACCTTCCGGTATCCGTGCTGTTGTCCAATACAGACAAATACTGAAAACTGGACTTCACCAAGTCAAGAATATGTGGTGTCACTTCTCACTTCTAGGGTAAGCATTACAGAACAGAAAAAGAGTAAAATGTCCCAAACAAATACATGAAAATAATGGGATGAGAAAAGGATTCTAGTATTCCAACAGAAAGCTCGGGGGGCAGGGAGGGCACTGGGAAACCCTGTGGGTGGCAGACTGAGACCTGAGGGGGTCACAGGTCATCAGGGGTGCAGGCAGAAGCTACAGCCTGCATCTTCACAAAACCACACACTGTTCCAGAAGAGACGCACAAACACATAAATACATGAAGACACCGAAAGTAAAAAAGTAGAGTTCAAAGTCGAGTGATGCAGAAAGCACCCTAGAAATGAGGCAGGTCATAGGGCAAGATTCAGCCCCAAAAACATGCTTCAAAATCTGCACAGCAAAAACTGACAAAACTGTCGAGAAGTAAAGAGAGCTGTATTCGTGGCAGGACATGGTAGGAAGTGTTTCCTTCTGAAACAGGGTCTGTCTGTTGCACAGGCCGGAGTACAGTGTGTCTCCATCTCGGCTCACTGCAACCTCCACCTCCCAGGCTCAAGCCATCCTCCTACTGCAGCCTCCAAGTAGCTGGGACTACAGGCACCAGCGTGCCTGGCCAATGCTTTTGTATTTTTTGTACAGCACCATTGCACTCCAGCCTGGGCAACAAGATGGAAAATCCTTCTCAAAAAAAAAATGTAAGTAGAACATTTAGCATTATTTGAAAGGATAATACACCACAACCGAGCTGGGTGTACCTGTGAACGTGGAGGTTGTTCCAACAGCAGGTACAAGATCAGTGATGCCCACTAACAAAAGGGGAAACCCTTTAATGCCATTAGATTAAAAAAACATGTGCAGTGTCCAGCAAAGAGGAAGCCACAGAGCCCAGATCCACGTCCCGCCCGACAGTTAAGGCAAGCCAAGTCCAGCAGGCGGCAGGCTCCAGCCCACAATGAGAAGTGGGGCCTCCCGCGTCCCACATCTGCAGAGCTCGCTGAGGTTCTCAGCACCAGAGGGGGCTTCCTGGGGGCCCTTGAGGACTAACCTGGGCCTCGGTCAGTCAGTGCATGAGTACAAGGATGCTGCCCAGGGCTGGGGAGGAACCACCCAAAAGATGACTGGAATCCCTTGCACTGCCCCAGCAGCAGTGGGAAGGAAGCGGCAGGGAGCAGAGCCCATAAAGGGGCAGGAAAACCCGGAGACCAGTGTGGCTCGGGTCCACCTGACAGCTTAAGAACAGTGCCCAAAACTGGATGCAGTGGTTCACGCCCGTAATCCCAGCTCTTTGGAGGCCAAGGTGGGTGGATCACTTAAGGTCAGGAGTTCGAGACGAGCCTGACCAATATGGTGAAACCTTATCT